ACATAGTACTATCCTTTTGTCTTAAATTCATAAACTCTATCTCCATATCTCTTATACACTTGTCCCTGATCATCTATTCTTGAATTCTTATACAAATACTCACCACATCCTTTGATCTTTTTAACAATCTTATGGTGACACTTGTTCACCATATTCTATCTTATCCACGTAATAACAAAACTACTCCATATCGTGTGTCCGATTCAAAACAATAAAAACTTTCTATCATTATTCAGATATGGTTTCAACTTTCTGAAATCAACTTTTGATCTTACTAGGCATTTCCTGAGGTGTCCGCTCTTCATCCTGCCTGGCCAGGGCAGGTGAATAGCTATAATTATCAGGAATATCACATTTCCCTTTATTTCGGAATTATCATAATCATACTTCTATTATAACTTAGCAATCTAATTCTATTAGCAAGATAACACACTCCTTACACTATCATATCAGAAATTTTCACTCTATGTTGGCATGTACACATCTTTAAAACTCATTTGACTTCGGTTTAAGCCTAGAATCGACTAAACCTTAGCTCTGATACCATTAAATGTAATACCCCCAACCCATACCCGACCGGATACGAGTCCGAGGTGTCACATTGACTTTTCAAACTTTGACTCTTGACAAAATTCAAAGAATATTTAAAGCTTTAATTAAAGTAAAAACAATTTATTTACATAACTTGACCACAATAACTAAAATTAATCAGAGCATATTAACACAATTCTTTAGTACATGCCAATTATATTCAAAATAATAAAAAAATCATTTAAATCATCTATTTTCTGATCTGAAATTTGTAAGGGAAATGCTGACATGTCTTGCTCTCTTAGCTATTCTTCTAGCTTTCCGAAACCTACGTGTGAAACACTCACATGCTAAGTCGATGACTTAGTGAGGCAAATAAAAATTATAATGCACTTGATAACATTTAACAATGCATGCATGTTTCATTCTATCATGCTATACTAAATCACCTTATTTCATTATAGCATACAAAATCATATCAGATTACTTAATAAAATATACCTACATACACATAAAGCATCATCAACAATTTATCTTTTAATCACATACTTTTATACTTAACCCCTTAATCAAACAATATACACACACACAACATTTATCATATCACAAACATATATTTATTATTATCTCCTGATTAGCCCATGGACGTATGTGAGAACTATAGGTATGTGAGTCTATAGAGGTTGTGCATTAATGTTGTCACCACAGCTCGTATAATTGCACCGAAGTGCCACGTAGACTTGCACCGGAGTGCCGCGTAGAATTGCACCGGAGTGCCATATAATAATGTCCATAAGGACCACATATCATTCCTTAAGAATCATATATATATACTAGGGATCAAGTATGTGTCTCACAAGACTTCATACATGTTCCAAAGAATATATATATATATCCCGAAGAACCGCGTAGAAAATTCCTTAAGAATCATATACATATGCTAATGACCAAATATGTGTCGCAAAGGACCTCATAGATGTTCCATATGATACCTATATGCCCCGAAGGACCGCGTAGACCCTCGACTCTTGGCATGCCAACTATACCCCAAAGCTCTCAAGACACATAACATGGGCTCTATCTTTTATATCCTTGCACATATTCATGTAAACATATCACATATTCATATAAGCTCGTAGCTTCATTCACACATACATGTAATCACGTAGTTCACTTACACATAGCACATTTTCATGTAATTCATAGATATCCCTTAGTTTATATCTCTTGATCATTTAATCATAACTTCTTATCACATATCTCATAGTCATGTCTTCATATATTCATTTCATCACACAGACTCATAGTTTCTGGTCATATTATTCACATTCTCTGACTTATCTCTTATGATCTGACATATAAACACCTAGATAACTTTAACATAGCTTATATAAGTTTCCTGAATCCTTTCATATTACCTGATAACATATATCATATAGGTATATAATAACTTATCTCATTTCGTCTACTTTATGCTTTATTTCTTTATATTCCCTTAGATTATATAACTTATGTCGTATTTCTAAACATATATATTACACTTAATCATATTTTATTTATATACTACTTTAATCCATTTAATTAATTCAATTTTCATACATTCCTTATAACCTTTTCATATAACCCCATAGATCTTTAGCATATAATTCCATAAATCTTTAGCATATAATTTATCATATATGTATATATATCATCGCTTTATATTCAAGTTCCCTAATAGATATATTATTCTCATTCCATTCTATAATTCAATCTTATTTAGTTTCCTCAATTCTCATTAAATCAAATAACTCTATTTTACTAATTCTCATAACCATGTATTTCACGTAGTCTTATATTTCATTATCTTATTACTTATATTTATTCTCCTATGATTCTTCATAAACCTTTATTTCCATTTCCATATATCTCTTGACTTATCTTCTATATTCATATAATTTCATAACTTATTTGATATTCTCTCATTAACACTTACTAGTGTGTGTACATAAACCACATAGCACATACAAACCATATCAATTCATATAATCAAGCATACATACACTCATATTCAACTTATGCCTTTAATCATGAATTCATATGTAACTCTTCAGGAAATAGACTTATCGTAAGTCTTCTTCCCATCACCCATCATATACTATTGAATATGCACTCACCTGGCCTCACTAGTCAATTCCAATCTCTTATCTTTCCCTTTGATCGATCTTACTTGACAATGATTCCGGAACTCGTTCAGACTCTGAATCTACATAATTATACATTTTCAAGACAATTATTAGATACATACACCTTGTAATTTGATACTAGCAACTTAAACGAACTTAATAAACTCATATTCAAATTTTTCCTTAGGGGTGCATCGATACACAAAATGGCTTCGAATTTTCATGCATCGATGCATCCCCTTAATGCATCGATGCACCTTCAAAATTTGTCTTGGTGCATCGGTGCATACTCAAACTGCATCGATGCATTCCAGGCATTCAGTGTTCTTCTTTTAAGAGTGCATCGATACATATTGAATGTGTACCGATGCATCATGCCCAGAAATTTTATTCAAGCCTGAAAATCATCAACTCTTCACTCAATTCTTCTATTTTAAGCCCCTAACATGTCATTAAACTCAACTACCACTTTATAAACCAACTTATATCCATATAAGCTATCTTTATCTTTCATATCTCTTCATGATTCTTAAAATTAAGAATCATTCCCAATTTTCCATGTTATCCAAACTTTGATTTAACACTTATAACTTCTTATTCACACCTATGACAAGTTAAATTCCATAACCACATTCATTTATTAACTCTTTTTCAGAAATTCACTTTGAAACTCATTTTCTTTAATCTTTCGTAACTCCTTTATGTTTTGATTTCTAAGATAACTTAAGCTTCCTTAAGCTTAATTATTATCTAATGATCAAAACCCAACCTTTAATTCCACAAATAATCAAGAGTTCATAAAACTCACCTTATCTCTTGAAGCTCACGGCTGGAGAAGAAGAAGAAAGAAAGAAAGCTTTGGAGAATTCTCTCATTTCCCACGTGCTTATTACCCTTTATAAAGGGAAATAAAATCTTTCCTGAGAAATAACTATAATACCCTTATTACTTCCAAACTTTGTTATTAAATCCAACACCAATATTTTTTTCATTAAAATCCCTAAACTTTTAATCTTTCTGAGATTGGTCACTAAATTACCAAAAACTCCATTTTGGTCATTGACCCGACTTTTGGGATGTTACACGAATGTTCTCTACCTCTTTTGTTTTTGGTTGCATGTTATATGTGGTGATGGTTTGGGTAGAGAATGATGATATCTCTACATAGGGTATGGTTTTCTGATTGTTTCGGTAGGTAAACCTCAATTTTTTGGGATTATTGACATTTTAAAAATGGTTTTCAGATTAGGTTCTGACTTGGTTAATTTTGACTGATGGGGTTTTATATTTTGCACTATTTTGGGTACGTTGATGATGATGGCGACGGCTCACGCGGCTAGGGAGTAGGGCGGTGAAGCTCACGCACTGGCTGGATGAGCGTGTGCATCTCACGCGCCGAGCAGACGGTCCATATTCCTTGATGGCGGTGGCTATTGATATGTTTAGGGTTTAAAACCCTAACCCTTAGGTGATCTGGACCGTTAGATGGGTCCAGATCCAAGGGTTGAGATTGGGGCGGTTGGCAGCTAATGTGGGAACCCTAACGGGTTTGGGTTGAGTGCTTGGCCTGGTGCTGGGCCTGAACCGGGTCGGGTTGATTTCCTGGTGGGCTGTTGGGTCATTCAGGTCAGATCTTGGGCCGAGTTGGGTTGATTAGTGTACTGTTGGGTTGTGTCCTTGTGGGCTTCAGGTTGTAATTTGGGTTCCATTTGGGTTGTTTGGGCTTTGTAATTTAGGCATGCAATAATGTAATAATATTAATAAAATTAAAAATAAGAATAATTATTATTATTATTTAAGAAGTAGAACGTGGACAAAAACGGGTATCTACAATATCAATGACATGAACTCCATCCTTTCTCCTTATATAAGGTTCTGCTACTCAGATACTTGATTCTTTTGCTCTACTTATTTGGTTCATTTTTTAGACAGGTGAAAGCAATTAATGGGTGCAAAAATTAGGCTTGTGGCTCTTGCTTTAGCAATATTGATGGAGAGTTCCTGCTTGACAGCAAAGGTTATAAAAGAGGATGTACCGGAGCATGAACGCACCATTGTTGACAGCCGGCGGCTTCTAGGCAAAGCCAAAAGTGGGTATCCTAAAGAAAGCAGCGTGAACAACCACCATTACATTCCTAGGGAGAATTTTAACTACCCTGGTGGCGATGGAGATGGAAGTGGGTAAAATTAATGGGATGATCAATAATATGGGAATTAACCGGTTATACTGCATGGTTTTTCTACATCTAAACATAGTTATAATATAATTATTTTCTGTACGTGTAGCTTGAATAAAGACCGATAGAACCAGCAGAATGTTCCCAAATTTATATTGAGAATTTGTAGTTTCGGGGTATATCTAAGGATGTCAATCTTTCCAACCCTCAAAACAAACATGTTCGTATACGGTCAAGGTGGCCTGCAACCGTGTATTAGTAATTGTCACATTTTGAAAATTTATCGTAAGGAATAGCTAGGCTAGCTGCCCACTCCACTCATTTCAACTTCAGTACGATCGAACATAAGCTCAACCAACAAATTCGTGAATCATTCGGCCTCCGAACTTTCCCCGAAGTTGGTACTCGTGTGGCTGATATTGTAGCTGATGTTGGAAGACTTCTGCACTTTCTACTCCATGCTTGAGACCCAAGGTAAGTGACACAGCTCCAAGGCCACCCGTCTCAAGCCTGCTTTGGTCGTGAGGTGTAAAACTAATCAATGAGCCGTCCATGCTTGATGAGATACGAAAATCCATACTAGAGTGTTTCTCGTGATACCGGCGTTCAGCGTCATAGGCACCTTCCGTAATCCCAGCAATAGCCATGTTTGAGCAAGCCAATTGCTTGTCGGATGTTGTGTTTATACATGAGCTGTTGATAGATTGTTCTTCATTGGGCCGAATGGTTATAGCAGTAGTAGATTTTGTATCAGTTTTGATAGAGTTCTGATTGCTTGCTTCCAAGCCTTTGCTCTCAAGCATGTGTATTTCTTCAACCATCGGTTTCCAAACTCGAACTCGAGCGTTTATGAACCAGTTAGAAACCTGCATTCAGAAATCAAATTGTTGAAATCATGAAAACAAGCCAATCAAACACTTAACTGTGCTACATTCCAATTCAATCACACAGAATCGTTAGGCCAAATACTTTAGACCACAAAACAGGAAGCAGTGAGCTCACCTGGTTTCGAGCAAGACCGGTTCGATTTGCCAACATGTGCTTATCCGTGTCTGTGGGGTACCTATAAGAAAAGTAGATACAGAAATTCACACCAAATTATATATTACAGAGGACATAATGAAATGCTAAGGAAGAGAAGTTGATTTACGGATGAAGAAAATGCTCAAAGAGCCAAGCTCTAAGAATTGCCACTGCACGTTCCGGTAGGCCTCTTTGGGGCCTCCAGCCTTCTTGTTGAGGTTCAAGGAAGCCCGTGTTAACCCCACCAGATTTCTGAACCCCATATTTCATCCTAGATATATTTATATCACCTTTGCTACTGCTAGCACCGGTAGTTGGGGACAATAAATCCTCCCTAAGGGTTCTAGATAAATGCCTGACACGGTCCGAGATAGCGTTCCTTAGGCACCGAAAGTTCCTTTCTACTGTCTTAAGAGCCAAGGAAATGTATGAAGTTGCAACACTTAGACAATCTACAGATTCGAAAGACGAAACCACCATTTGCATCTGCTGATAATATAGCTTGTATCGTCTGCAAACCTTTCAATTGCACGGCATATACAAGTTCTCATTAGAGTAAAACAGTAAGACAAAGAACACAATCAATTATCTTGATGAAGATTGATGCTATTAGGATTAGGTCCAAAAACAATAATGGTTCACAAGGAAACACGATGTAAGAACAGTGATTTCACTGTAGTATTCACTTATTGATCAAAGAAGTTGGCCAAGTTGGGAAAATAAATAGTAATACAGATATGCATAGCCTGTTATGTCAACCTACAATGGGTCCTTCATCAAAGGCAAGAGGACAACTTATTCGGGTTTAAACTTTTAAATAAAGTAGATTTGAAAGCGTGGTCATCACTTTTAATTGAGATGTAATTTTGGTTTGAAGGTATATACAGAGACGAAGAGTAACTGATATCCAGCGTCTAACTGCTGTTTCAAAATGACTTAAATTTCATTCATCTTCGGGTCTTTATTAATGTTAAAATAACTTCAAAATAAACATACGTGATAGTTTCCTTCATTAACGTTCATTAAAAAAAATGCAGATAAGAATTAAATGGCAATGTATAAATGAGAAGAAGAAGAAATGATGACCAACCTCATCCTGCAAATATAAAAGCTTTGCCTTCTTTTGTTGGTACTCAGAGCTGCCCCCAACGCTAACATCAACTGTACTAATTTCATTAGAACTGCAAAGACCAGAGACCGAAGCCCCGGAGTTATTTCCCTTAATAGCTCCATCTTCCATATCAACTGCATTGGCAACAGCAACCGAGGCTGAAACACCGATGCTATTGGAGACCCCATCGGATGTCTCGTGAACTTTACCAAGCTTTGAGTTGGTCATATGACAGTATTGACCCAATAGTTCTTGTGCTGGTTTAAGAAACCTTGAATTCTTGAGAATAGTTGCATATCCGGTGAATGGACCAAGGGGGTGAACGTAAGTTGAATTTCCGCTACTTTTACCGATTATAGACGGCTTCTGCATCGAAAACAAATGGCCAGGCTTTAAAGCTTTTGAATCACGATGAGGTTCCTTGAAGGCATGCTGAGAACCACGCTGGTCCTCTGTGAATTGAGCCGCACCATAAATTTTCGACGAAGGATTCGACGAAAGAGCTAGAGAGAGCCCTTGGATAGTACTTGAAGTTTCACCCCACTGTGGACAGTGCTCTAATAGCGGCCTATTCGTCCAAGCACCAGCGTTATCAAAATGCAAAGCACTAGCCTGAGTACCCACAGAAGCTGTGGCAACATCATAAAGTGAAGATGAAACAAACTGCAATTCCCCACAATGCCTTTTGCTATCCTGTCTACAAATGTCACTCCCAGTCCCAAAATACTGCATAGCTGCACATACGTTGCTTTCCCTTGCATTATTTGACAGCACCTCCCCAATAAACATAGGGTTTTGATTGTTTTCCCTGCCACCTAATCCACTTGCATAACCCACCATCAGATTTCCACAACTTGGTGGGTCACCAGAGACTTTAGCAGAAGCATTTTCCTGTGGCGGAACACGGATGATACCTGAGTACACAATAGTTGGCTCGTGAAGCATCTTAGCATTCCTAAGATTACGAACTTGAACAAGATCTGAGTTTAGCCCCGAATGGACCGAGGAGTCTTGCTCCAAACTATTGGGGAAATCCTCAAAATGGTGAACCCTCAACTTTTCTCGCCTGCTTTGTTGTGCTACATGAGATTCAGGTTTGAACTTGCTCGTATCCATAACCAAACTCATGCAAAGCTAGCTTTTAAGAGGTAAATGAAACCAAGCAGCTCGTCAAGTTCAACAATCTGGAGATACAAAACAAAACAACGAATATAAAACAGATTGAAAGGAAACAAATCAAAAACACAGAGAACAGATTGAAAGGAAAGAAAGAGATAAAAGAAAGCACAGTGGTGAAAGAAAGTTAAAGTTTTTATGTATATATATATATATATATATATATATATAAGAGAAATCAGCTAAAGCCTACACTGCAAAAAGTACATGTAAATGGAAATCACAAGCTTCACGTCAACCTCCGGAATATAAACCCTAATTCCTCAAAGCCGACGAAACCCCCGTCAGTTGCAAGCTCTATTGAAAAACACCCTACTTTTTAAAGCTTAAGATCTAAGAAAATAACATCAAGATTACAGAATCTTTAGCTTATATTTTTCGAGTAAGTGGTATATATATAAACATTTTTTTAAATCAAGATGTCATGAAGAATGAAGCCCCCACAAACTGAGAAAAATAAGACCAAACTCAACATCCACCGATCAAGAACAAGATCCAACAGCTACCCTAAGTTTCTAACAATGGAGTAATAATTAGTTTTTAAGAAAAGCAAAATAAGACGTATTATAACTTGTTATTATCCATAACTTAAGTTACCTATTTCAAGAGATCGCTGGTGTTGTTAAGATGTGAGATCTCAAATATATGAATTTTCACCAGTAAGAAAAAATATTCATTAGAAAAGAAAGAACCTTTGAGGGGATAATAATTGTGGGAAAAAGAAAAGAGAAATGTGCTTTGAATTGAAAGACTGAATCTTCAAGTGTTGAATTCCTATGTCCCCTGGTAGGGTCCATCTTTAACCTAATTTTTCATGCTTGAAAGTTAAAGCTAAACTACGTGGGGGTGGGTTTTAGATGAACCGGCCTTACTTAATTAGGATAATTGTAGTCATTGCTTTAAGATAAAGATACCTTTAATAATGCAACCTCGTAAGTAACAACCCTTTTAAATTTGTTTTTCGGTAAACTACGTATAAAAGTCAAACTTATTTCGTGTTATGTTCTGGTTCACTCAATTACTTTTTTTTAATCATATTTGATATTATATTTTGATCATCATTATTAAAAAATAAATAAAATTATTGATGTGATAATTTTTTTAATTTTTAATTATAATAATATAACATTATATTATAGTGACATTTAGTATCATAATTAATTTTTTAACGACGAGTGACCAAAACATAACATTAAATATGATTTTGAAAAAAAATAATTTGGTAATCAAAACATAATCAAAATAATACGTGGGTGACTAAATATAAAATTTACCCTTTAGTTTTTTCTCTATTCTCTATTTTTTTTTTTTGGTAAAATAACATTTTTTTATAATAACAGTAAAATTAATATTAGATACAACATTTAGAATCCTAATATAATCCTAAATTTAAAAAATATATATTAATAAAAGACGAATAAATCCCTACTTTATAAAAGGAAAAACATAAATGTGATATGCACGAATTTGTTTTTGTTAAGTAATTGTATATAAAAATCATCTTTAATGGTGTCTGCATCTATCACCTAAGGTTATTTAGTTATTCTCTTTTATAAAAATACTTAATGTATTATTTTTATTAAAATAAAACAATAATATGATATAATTTTAATCAGCAACATTAATAATTTGTTAACATTTATTTATATCATATACTCAAGCAACAAATAAAACATGATAAAATATATTTTTTGCCTATTTAAAAACAAAGAAGTTATTTTTTTTTAAATAAATCATCAATTTTTTTCGAAATAGTAAATATCCTAAATTATTATCAAGATTTAAAATCACAATCGTAAATTAAGCATATGATTAGGATAATTTCCTATGATCATTGAAACAAAACTAACAACTTAATATCACATAAGGATCATATAAGGAAAGATTAAAATCCAACCAAGAAAACTCGAACAAAAATAGATACAAACAGATCTGATCGCATCAAGCTACTGAAAGACCACCGACAAACCGCAAATCAGACTTGAGCGACGTGAAAAGTTATCCACAAATGCTTAAACAGGTATCCAAATCCAATCGATGCTTAAACAGATAAACATCATCTTAATCGATCGATGCGATGCGATGTTTAATCAACCCTCAAAAAATAAAAACAACGGCAAAAAAAACCAAAAAATGTCAAAAGATAAAAAAAATGTATCATAAAAATAATAATAAAAATACCACAAAGATCGAGGAAAATGTATCACAAAGATCTACCAATAAGAAAAAACTATCAAAAATGAGAAAATTATGAGAGTTTTTCCTAAAAACAAAGAAGTTATTGATTGTACAGTCACATAAAACAAAGACATTCCTCTTTATAAAGCATCGTTATTGTATGTAATGGAAAAAAGATGGCAATATAAAAATTAATAAAAATGTTACATATGTAATTAATTTTTTAATAGAAATCAATAATTTTATTCTAAATAGAAAATATTATAAATTATAACATAATAGTAAATTAAACACATAATCAATATAATTTTTGAAACAAAACTAACAACTTAAGATCACAAAATAACCATATAATAAAATATTAAAATCTTATCAAGAAAACTCGAATAAAGATAAATACAAATAGATATGATCGCATCGATAAATGTACCACAAAATGGGGACAGACCGTAAATAAGACTCAAGAGATTGAAAAACTATCTACGAACGTATAACGGGTATCCAAATCCAATATGATGATCCAAAAACAAGAAAGATCAACAATATAACAGATAAGTTTAATCTTGATAAATCGTAACGATGTTAAATCAACTCTTAGAAAAAAAAAATAAGTGAAAACAACTGTCAAACAACCGAAAAACATATTAAAATGTACAAAAAAAAAATATCATAAAGACATATAAAAACATTCATTATAAAGAGAATTATAAAAAAATAAAAGAAAATAAAAAGACATAAAGAATATCGAGAGTCAGACAATTAACCGTCGTTGTTCATAAAAAAAGATTAACAACTTGCCAATGAAAAAAATGATTCATGAAATTAATTTTTAATAAGTAATATTTAGATAAAATCATATTTTGAAGATATATTTTAATAAATAAAAGGCAAAAATAGTTAGATGAGGTGACGAAAAAAAATCTATTCTGTAGAGTGTTGGAGAAAATATTTTTTGATTTAGCGTAGATGTTATAGTCAACGTCGGAAGCCAGTCGGAATATTCTGTGTTTTGAAACTTTCATCTCCACTTTTAAAGTATTACCCGGCGGAACACCTGACAATTCTCCATCTCTGTTGTAGGTGTAGCCGACTACGACATTACGGTTGGTCTCTTGAAGACCAGAAGATAAAGGCATTGGGTGTTGTCGAAAATGAAGAATCTAAAGACGTCGAGTGTTCCGATTAATTTCTCCTAAACGTAGACTGATCTGATCAACTTCCTCCCTTTCACCATATTTTTCCTACATCAAAATTTGATTTTTTTTTTCACTGCCTCATATCAGCCATTTTTTTTTCAAAGCTATCTCAACATTTTTGCCAATAAATTAAGCCACCTGATTTTTATTTTAATGTTGGAGAAAAACAAATAGATTAAAGTGTGAGATGGAAGGTCTTGTTGGATGGGAATTCATAGAACAGAGTTGGGGAACTGTACGGGCAACTGGGGATGATGAGGTCAGCAGGAAGTAACGCCTGCATTCCAAGCTGACCGCCACGCAATTCCTTGCTTTTTAATCGCTCCTCTTTCACCCATTCCCAGCAACGTTGGGCACCGCGTCTCCGGTCTCCGGTCTCCCCTCCTTTGAACGGCAACACAAGCCCCTCGAACTCTCTCTTATATATTGCAATCTGCATAATGCCTTTGAGTTCACATGAAACCCAAGTTGATGCGGACACAGGTAATAATAATACCTAAACTTGCCCCACACACCAACAACAGTGAACATCCAGAAACTGCTGCTGTCAAAGGTTTTGCTCACATGGATGAAGATAGTATGAACTTAATGGATCAAAACATAATAATTATTCCTCGACTGTGAATGAGGCAATTAAATATACCATATTATAGTGTGTCAGTCACAGTAGTCCTATCAAATAATAAAAGGAAGTTAATGGAATTTAATCTTCTGAAAAATCATTAGGATCACGTTATCTCAGTTACTGCAAATGAAGTGATAAAAGTCCCATCAACACTGCACCAAAAACTCCCATCAAAACCCAAATATAGAAACGATTTTAGTCCTTCTATTACGGTGTTTTCCCGACAAATCACTGGTGATATTTATCGATCTAACACCGGTTAGATTATATTTTTCGATCTAATACTCGTAGTAGTAAAACGCACCTCCTGTCCCGCGTTATATGTTGATTTGGCGTCACGTGGGGTATAACGCGCCCTCTGCCCCGCGCTATACGCTGACATAGGTTTCATGTGGGTATAGTGCGGCCCCTGATCCGCTTTATACGCCACGTAGGGGTATAGCGCAGATCAGGGGCCGCGCTATACCTAGTTATCTGACACGTGGGGTATAGCGTGGTACAGGGGGCACGTTATACTTTTAATTACCCACCCGTCTACACCCCAATCCTCCTTATAAATACTTCCATTCTCAATCACTTTCATCACGACAAATTCTCTCAATTTCTCTCAAATACTCTCTCTGTTTAAGATATATTTTATAATATTTTTAATATTATGTATTTAATTTATTTAAGTATTTTACTTTATTTAATATTTTACTAATATAATTCTTTTGCAGATATAAAATGGAAGGCAGTCTACTTCGCTTGGATGGAAATCATATATCTCGACACTTTGCTGATACGGTAACATTTTAACGTTTCAATTTAATTTAAATTATTAGTAATAATTAGTTGATTTATTTAATGCATGATTATTAGATTAAGAATTAATTTTTGTAATTATTTATTTTTAGGAGAAGGATCGTGTATTAGATCCTTTTATTAGGATCGTGATACCTAGCCGTGTCTTGCCGTATTTAGTAGAGGCTGGATTTGGTTACATAGGTAGATATCATGGTCACTATAAGATAGAACCAGACCTTATTTCTGCCTTAGTAGAGCGGTGGAGGCCGGAGACCCACACATTCCATCTTCCGTGCGGAGAGTGCACGATCACGCTTGAGGATGTTTCTATGCACCTAGGGCTTCCGGTGGATGGAGATGTGATATCAGGGATAGCTTCCGGTTCTTGGACTACTTTGTGTCGGGATAATCTAGGACGTGTCCCGAAAAGTTTTATCGAATGTATGATACCGTTAAATTGGTTAGATGCCAATTTTCGGGAGTTGATCGCAGACGCCTCTGAGGATGAGGTTAAGATGTATGCACAGGCATGCATATTGCAGTTGATAGGAGGGTTGCTGATGCCGGATAAATCGCGCAACC